TAACACCAAATAGTGTTGGTAGTACTTTACACTAGCCCTGGTGTTTAAAAATTTAACACTGAATAGTGTTGATTGTCTAACACTAACACTAGTGTCAGGCAAATCATCAATACTAGCCAGATTACAATAAACTCCCATTAATCTCTGATATCTCTACTGCTATAATTAATTAAAATGTATTCACAGCTACAGACACTCTACCCATTAAAAGAAACAACAGGACAGTGTTTAAAATACTCTGTATTCAAACAGCAGATACACCACAAATAAACAGCGCATAAATATATACAAAACTAGAATATTGGACAATCTACATTTTGTCATTAGTGTCATTTGAAAATAGCCCATTGTAAGGTCTATAATACACCACATTATCTACACAGATCAGTGCAACAGCATCCAGTTTATCCTCAATAACAAATGCATTTAAGTGACCATTGATCATTTCTTCAGTCTCCAAATTACTTAGAGCATGCACAAGCAGCTTTAAGTACATCAAAACACACACAGGAAAACATGCTCTACAGGTTCAACTATTTTCCATTTTTGCTCAAAATGTCTCATCCTTTTAGATTCTGTTAAGATATGAGAATGAATTTTCAAGCTGATCAAAACATTCAACTTTTCCGAGGTTTCTCTTGATGACAAACATTCAACAACAGATTGTTTTGCATGTGCAATGACGCATGTCATTAACACTTTCCTCCAATGAACCAACTAAACACTGCACAGTACTTTCAGAACTCCTGAGGATTGTAGTTGAGAAATAACAGTCCTATACATGTCCTGTCACAAGATGAGCCACATTTACAGGCTGTGAAACAAAGGTTCTATCATAAGGTGCAGGCTCAAAATAAAAATTACTGATGACCTCTGAGTCAACAAAGTCTCCACGTGCTTTGAAGAGGTGTTGCTTGTAAAAGATAAATTAATATCTAGGCTGTCCAAAGCTCAAAAGTAAAAACGTTGCTGGAACTTGACATGTCTAAATAACACTGAGCAACTTGTGTGGTGTATCTTGCAAAAGTAACACAAGAACAGTCAAAGTACTGTATAGTCGATGTCTTTAGACTGTACTGTGAAGAATTCTTGCTCTGATTTCCCTGACCCGAAGACTCTCCTTCACGCTGCCAACATCAATGCCATACACGGTGGTCTGGATGAATGTGTAGAAGTTGTGCAATGCTTCGTCATAGGACACGGCAAATACAAAATGTGCCTTGAAAAGCTCGTCAAAAGCTGCAACTCCCGTCTGCGTCACACAGGGAATGACCTTTTGATCTAGGACAATGTAGAAAGTCTGGATGATGTTCTTTCTTTCTCCAACACACAGGAGGAATGGCTGAGTGGGGCCAGCCTTAAGAAAAGTCTCCATGCTACCTCCCACCTGAGGGAGTGAAAGAAACCAAATGATTCACATTAAACAAAATTGGTAATTGGATGTTGAGTGGCAGTGCTGCCTAAAATTAAGACAATATTAAATATATTAATTATATTATTATATAAATATTAAAATGTTTTACTTCGGGCCCACAGTTATTTTTGTTCCAATGTGTAATTTTAGGTTTAATGGTAACAATAATGTGCCGGCGTTGCAACACCAAGCCTATCTGGCATAGATATATCTGCTGCACAGTGGAACTCCTTGCCCTCTTAAAACATCTGATAATCTTTTCTCATCAAAAGAGAAAGCTACTTTAACACATTTCTAAAAAATCATACCTTCATGAAGCAGCATCTGATGTGCTAATCTTTGAAGACTTCCTTCCCTTAGATGTTGGAGGTAACAAGTGAAGCAGCAAAAGAATGGCAGCCAACTCGCAGTCCCAAACTACAGAATAGGAATTAGGATAATCGCAATTACTGTCATTTTAAGGTCCACAGCAGTCATTTTGTCAATGTTATTCAGTTTTGGATAACTGATAATTTTTCAAATAAAGCCGTTTTCCAATGTCTTCAGTATGGTATGAAAATTCATTTCAAGACACTTAAAATCTTCTGGCCACCAAGTGACGTAAATATTGAGTCATAACAATACTAACATTAAGTAACTTTTTTTTGTCAAACTTTAAATGCCATTAAAGTTTGTTTGTAAATTCCTTTTCATACCATACTGAAATGAACAGAAACTCAACGTAATTTATAAAATCGACAGCTGTATTCCAATTTGTTGTAAAGGTGCCAAAACATGTTTTGATTTAATAGTATGGTCCACCTAATATATTGTGCTGTGGGAATTGTGAAAATGCTGTAAAGACATGTGAAGTCTACCATCTCCAACTTACCACCCTCATCAGAGTCCCCCTGTGCAGAGACAAGCAGGTCATCCAATTCTGTACTCTGAGACAGATTTTTGCAATCTTTGATGATTCTTGGCTTGAAGAATGTTGGCCACTTTGCAAGGAATTTACCAGACACTTCCTCCCCAAACAGCATTGTGAAGTCTTGGTCAATCTGAAACACAAAATGTGACAATAGAAAGAACGCATTAACGAACAAACAAACAAAGGAACCACACAGCTGTCAGTCAATCAGTTTATGCCTTACCAAGCCAGGTGTATCCAGAAATCTTGGGAAAAGGTCCAGGACAGAAGAAGCTGTGGCTGGATCTTGAATCACTTTTTGCCTATGTTGAAATGTCACCTTCATTTTCTCTTTGACAACTTTCATATCAGTCGAGTGCCTCATCACTGACATAGCTTCCTTGCATTCATCACCCGACAACTGTCTCGCATTTGTTGCGAAGTTGCGAAGTCTTGGGGCTGTCTTGAAAAGCTGACTTTGATTTCTTCATCTCTTCAGTAGAGTTGCGCTGCACAGTTTTCAATCTCCATGCCAGGTAACCAGAACCACTCTGGTGATCATAGAAATGTTCCTGCCGAATTAAGAGCAAGAGAGATATTTATTCAATATTGATTACCTGCTACTCTGTTTGTAGCAAGTGAAGAAAACTCCTGACTGCCAGATATGGCATCATGCATTAGAGGTCTATTTAAATCAATTGTTACACAATGACATTTTTTTACATTTATTTATTTTGGGTCCATTAGGGAATAACTTGATAAACTGCCTGAATGACAGACTGACCTGAATTAGTCTTATCATATGATTTCTTTAACCACTCCATCAGAAAAGCCAACAACAAAATACTTTCACAGACCACTGACTGTCATATCTGCAGGTGTAGGCATTTATCACGTAAACCACAATCAAAAAAGTCTTAATTGCATAAAAACTGGGTCACAGACCCAGGACTATGACACTGACAGCATGTATGCATCATAACATCATAACTTACATAACCATTCTTTGAATCTGGGTCCTTCAAGTTTGGGAACAAGGTTGTAATCCCAAGTGCATACATAATGCGGACACTTACTGGTGGGATCCTCCTAAAAGGCAGATACAGAGAACACGAAAACTATCAATTATTTACCCCAACACAGATTCAAGTTCAAGAACAACATGTATCCAGGTGTATGATTTGAACTACCCAAACTACCTATCATCTGTAAATCATGACTGACCACATCACACACCTGACAGGTCTTTAAGAATAATGAAAATGAAGACTTGGATTATGCTCCACATGGACTATGACAATTTGATGCAGACATTTTCCTAATGTTTTGCTGTTGTCAACCATCCCTGTTAAGAAGCACTATATTCAGAAACTACAATAATGACAATGGAAAATAACATCACTCCATAACAAATTGTGACTTTCTTTTGAAACATTATCAATATGGGGTTAGCAACTAATGAAAACTATGATTGATTTGATTTAACAATGACTTCATGACATATAGAAGAATCTATTTAAGTGGTGCAATAATGGTAAACAACTAAAATTGCAGACAAAAAAAAAAAAAAAAACAAAGATTTTTCTTAATGTTTACATCACTTACCCATGACTCTCTACCATGTCTGCCACAAGGATGTTCACCATCCTTCTTCTTGTAGTATCAGAGAGGCAGTTTGTTTTCTCATATTCCTTAAATACTTGATCACCATCTGGCTTTGAATACAAGGCTGCTCTGATGATCTGAAATAACAATTGCAAGAAATTCATAGAAAGCACCTACCAGGTGGGTATAAAAATTATCAGCATCAACTGCTATAGCCTTTGCATTAATCACTACATCTTATTTAATCATGAGAGGGACCATTGTTTTGTTTTTATAATTTTTTAAATAATATTTTTAAAGATATTGAGTATTGGTACAAATGAACAGGTAATTGGCAATCTTAAGTTACAACATATCATATCCTGAAGATTACTTACATTTCTTGCAGTGTTGCTGTCAGGAGGTCCTTCAATTAACTGTTTTTTCCGAGCTTTGGTAGATTCGAGTATTATTGTTGTGTCTAAACCTGATGATGATCCTCCTGATGCAGGTGACGGTGACAACTCTAATGAAGATGTGTGATCTGAAGAAGACCCTGCAACACTGTTGTCTAACAATACAGACAGCCTCATAGATTTAAACATGATTACACCAACTATAAATTAGTAAATTTAACAACGCATTTTTAAATGAAACATACGGCTTAAACTTCTTACCACTGCATTCTTCAGTGAAGACACTGAAAGACACCTGAGATGACTTCAAAAGTTCATCAAATATGTCCGAATCCACTTCCACTTCCGCAGAATCCATCAGGACCAAATTGGTAGAACCTGGCACACCGAATTTCACCAGCACTAAAAAAAGAAACAATCAATAAAGTCCTATATGAATTTATAATTCATAAATCCGTAAATCACAGTTTTACTTTGATAATATTTATAAATTCTTTATTCATTTAATTACTAAAAGAATTATTCATTTAAATTAGCAACCAATGTAGTGAAGTAAACTTACAGTATTTGCCCTTGGACTGCAGTGAAGGCTTTGAGTAAAGTACAAGTAAATCAAAACAATACTTACATGAATAGTATATGAATAAATTTACTTAGTTACTTTTAATCACTACACTCAAATTACCTCCTTGCAAAAATTCGGAGTAATTGTAGGCATCGTCTGTCTTTGGTACCCTGACCCATTTGCTCACTCCCTTAAACTCGACAGGAACCAGCATATCGCCACCTTCCAAGAGTAGAACAAAACTGCATAACTGCACTGCAATACAGTAGTCTCTTGATTATCGCGGGGGTTAGTAGAAACCATATTTCTTTTTTATTATTTTTATATACTTTAAGCCATAAAAACTCTCCCTGCACTCTAACAAACCCTAATATAAAGAGGCAGAAAAATGCTTATTTTACCATGAAAAAAAACAATCTAAAAAAAGAAAAATGCCTTATTGTCACAGAAATGCATAACATATGAAATTACCATAATTAACAAGATGTAGGGGGCATACTCTAGTGTAAAAATCTTTCCATCTATACATACTCTCAGGGTAGCCTTAAGCATCCTAGTTCACCTAAGCCAGTGTCTCAAACTTCAATGAGCTATGGGCCACTGCCATCTCATTGGAGGGCCACTTTAGTGTTCAAGTAGTACAAAAAAAAAATACAAAGAAACCACCCACAAATATTTCCCAAAATGCAGTTCCTCGTTAGTTTTTAAAATTTCAAATATTGTATAAGAAGGCAAAACCGCAAACTTGAATGCATTTTTCTCACTCCAAACTAACCGAAGCCTAGCTCCGCGGCTCTGAACCGTGGTTAAAAGAAAAAAAAACAAAAAACCTGGCTAATACGTCGGGTCCCGCGTCGGGCTCGTGGCCGCTAACTAGCTTTACTGTCAGCGAACACAGTGTACACTCGAGTATAAACAGCTTACTTACAACTGGGCTTGGGCTCGTCAGCCAGTCTTTTTGGCTGCAGTGGTTATTATATCTACATGCTTTCATCTTCCGTTTCTCGCGGGTAGCAACTCATACTTTCTCCCTCCCTCGCACTCAAACCGGGAGGGAGGGAGGGGGGAGTCCCACACGGGGCCGCGGGTTTGAGACCCCTGAACTAAGGATTTAGCAAGTTTAATTTGAAAATAAATAAAAGGCGTTTAGTAAAAACTGTGACATATATTAACAAGTAATATTCGTTATAGTCTGCCAACAGCCAGATTATGCTAAATGAATGCTAGGAAAGTAACTGGTACTTTGCAGTTTTAGCTAGCAGTAGCCCAGCTTAACAAAAAACAGTTAAAATTCAAATATGACACTTAAAGATAATGTATTTTGATACAAATACTATTGTTTTTACTAGTTATCATGTTACTTGTTCTAATATCAATCTAAAACTTAATATTTGACAGAATAAAACTTACCGCAGAAGCAAGAAAAAATGGCGACCGAAGATTCTGAAATGCGAAGCTCCACAGGAAATGAAGGCGTGGTCTAATTTAACACCCACAGTGTTAAAATGCAATAACGACTAAAATCCACACTTACACTTTTCAGGAATCAACTCCCGATGTGTTATTTTAACTCGATTAAGTGTTGAACTAACTCGGAACTCTGTTGAAATCTACTAACACTGAAAAATCAACACTGGCATTTTTGCTGTGTATATCTATAAAAAATGTCTTTCACCAGTTTTCAGCTAGGTATGTTTGAGCTGGGTCAGTCTAACCCGGCACTATGTGTGTTGTGTTTAGGAGGTTGGTGTATCATCAGAGACCTCATAAATGACTTTTCTGAATTCTTAGTTGGAATGATTGCGAAAAAATGACAGGATTTTAATCTTTGCACCCTGGTAAAAATTTTTCTGAATGACCATGTCATTGTGCAGGACTCAGGGGCATCTTTGCACAGCCTGCACCTGGGGTTTTGAGTGATATGGTAGACCCCTGCCTCTGTGGCTCTTGTGGATCTTAGTGCCTCTGTGTTGTCTTGGAGTCCATCAATGTCCACTGGCAGAATTTCTTAATATCCGCCACTTCTTCTATCTTCTGGTGGTAGACAAAAGAAGGTGAAGGTGGCCACAACACGGTCAGTTGTGGCCACCTTCCTTATTTACTCATGAATGTTTGTTGTCTCACCTTTACAGTGAGTCCTCAACCTCCTTCTTTTTGTTTAGCATATAGCCTCAGGGTGCTTACTGGGGTGAAATCCTCCGTGCATTGTGACCAGCTTCCTTGTCTAGATGTCAGTGGCATCTATCTCCTTGTTTTTACAGCTGATTATCCCAGCTGGGTATCTGATCACCGGTGTAGATGTTGATTACCTGGATCTTGTTCTTCCCATTCAAACGCGATGTTGCCTGTGAGGAGCTTCGATGTGGTACTGAGGCAGGTTAATTGGCCAGTATTTGGATGGGAACGGTTCCTTTTGGGGGTCCATGAGGATCAGGACTGTCCAGCCTTTGGTCACCATTCTGGATGTGTCTTATCATCTAGCAGTTTGTTCATTTGTGCTCATAAGCGCATGGAGTGCATAAAGCTTTTTCAGCCATTAGGCATGAATCGTGCCAGGGCCTGTTGCTGTCCAACTTTTCATACTGGAGACTCTTTCTTGGATGTCTGCCACTGTGATGTTTATTGGACCCTGTTCGGGGAGGTTGCTGTGGTCTGCCCTCAGATCCACTGGCCACTGAGCATTGTTGTTATCGGTTGTATCGTTATCCCAGATGGTCTTCCAGTATTGTTCAATCTCTAGCCTTGGTGGAGCTGTTGTCATATTGTTCCCTGCCACTGAGAGTACACCTTGGATGGTTCAGTGGACTACAGCTTCAATAGTTGTCTAACTTCCCTGCTGCCTTGATCTTAGGCTCTAGCCTCCTTCTCCATGGAGGGTACTGCTCCTTGTGGCTGTCTGTCTTATACCTGTTGGGATTCAGAGATTGTTTTATTGCTACCATATAATTTGCCTTATGAAGAATGTATTAATAACATGTTTCACAGTATCATTTATCAGTAATATTTCCTACAGGGTTTATATTGCAGTGAATATGTCTGTCATCACATTGACCTTTCTATTTTTATAGGTTGAGTTCATTTTATACACAATGCATGAATGTGCTTGGTTAAGAGTTGATGTTCCATTCTAGAAGGTTTTAAGCTTCACTGGTGAGAGTGTCCAGATGATACATGCTGAGGGGAGATGAGAACATAGCAGGTTAATTGCATGCACGCTTACGATACACATATTAATCTAGTAGCAGGTCTGAGCGAAGGCCTAAGCGTCTTCTGCTTCAGTTTGAGACTGGCTGCAAAGTACTCTACTTAGTGATTAATGACGAGGGTCCATTCTTAGCTCTCAGAGATGCTAAGACCTGAAGTTATTACCTTAAAAGGCAAGTAATAAAGAAAGGAGAAGTTATATGTTGGTGTATGAAGTGTACGTGATGTACCCTTGTCTGCACGGGTTGAACTTTTGCCCGTCTGTCACCATGTATTTTTGAACTGTATTGACGTAGGTGTGATATTTTATCCTATAAAACCAGAACCCATTGTATTTTTGTCAGAGCAAAACAATCCGTATGCTGACGGTTGGTTGTTCTCCTGTGATAATAAAACTCATCGTTTGATTGCACTTTTCCGGAGCTTCCGTCGTTTTTGTTGTCTGGTCTAAAGTTGATCGATCTCGCAACAGCTTCAATAGTCATATTGTTCCCTGCCACTGAGAGTACACCATGGATGGTTCAGTGGACTACAGCTTCAATAGTTGTCTAACTTCCCTGCTGCCTTGATCTTAGCCTCTAGTCTCCTTCTCCATGGAGGGTACTGCTCATTGTGGCTGTCCGTCTTATACCCAAGCTATAAGACGAACGGCTGTTTACTACTGCAGTGCTACAGATCAGCTGGTTAGTTTTGGTGAAGGTTGCAGTAGGGATTGTCCGTAATGCTGCATTCACATCCTCTGGTAGACCTCCAGAGGGTATTTCACATAGTCTTGGTCACGGAGAGCCCAGGTTTCCCGCTTCACCATGATCATCCATCTCTTAGGTCAGGAGTGTCCAACTCCAGGCCTCGAGGGTCGGTGTCCTGCAACACACCTGAATCTAATGATTAGTTCATTCTCAGGCCTCTCGAGAACTTCAAGACATATTGAGGAGGTAATTTAGCCAGTTAAATCAGCTGTGTTGGATCAAGGACACATCTAAAACCTGCAGGACACCAGCCCTCAAAGCCTGGAGTTGCCTACCCCTGTCTTAGGTCATCTGGTCTTGCATGCCTTGAGCTCTACTTGGGGCTTGGTAATCTTGAGTGAGGGTGATGATCTCTCCCCCCAACCTGACCTCATGGCTCACACTTCCCATAGCATTTGTGTTGTACTTCATCAGTATCCAGCTGTTGGAACACTGCACTTTAAGAAATAAAACGTTGGATTTAATTGACAAAGTTAAGGCAATCTTTTCCACAGAACCTGGTCAATTAAACATAAATCGATATGGTTATTATCTGCAATTTCAATGGTGATGTATATCAGAAGTGAAATTGTTCTATAAAAGCAACAGCTTTCCTTTCATTGTTATTATTTAACACCATTAATTAGAATTTAAACACTTTGTTCATTTTATTAACTGTATTGCTTTAGGTTCAATTGACAATATTAATTTGAATTTAATGGCACCATTTAGATTGCGTTTTGGACCTAATTAATTTGATTAATTATGATTTAATTAATAGTTTCATCTATATGCTAAATGTTTAGGTATCAACAAGTCTAGAAAGGTTCCTGAGTTGTCATCTATACATTGTAATTAGGTGTTTGGACCTTTCAGAGGTCTTCAGCAAAGGTCTAACACTTAACTACAGAGTACAGGTGACAACTCAAAAACCTTTTTACACTTGCTCACACGTTACCATTTATAACATTCAAGATCCTTGCACTTCAATAAAAAACTCTTACACCGAAGCTTACATAAAGTGTAAATGCAAAAAAAGGGTGCTGCATTAACAACTTTATTTACGGTGAGCCTTAACAAGGCAAAGCTTCTACAGGGAACAACACTGCATAAGGCAATATTAAATGCTTAAAGTGCATGACCAAAATTTAAACATTGGAAACAACTTTCCGAGTTTCAAAGTAACATTGTAGTGTGCCGTAAGATATCAAATTCAATACAACTTGTGATTATAGTCAGTACTGCAGATTTACCACAGCAACTTAAAAATCACTGCATGCAATGCAATTACAGAAAATACCTAAGTGACACAAAAAGGTAAAAACGATTTAGTCCCCAGTTACAAAAATCTGATTCAGAATTATAAGTTTTCTATTATATAATAAATTTTACAATAAAAAAATGCATATAGCAAATCTCAAAATATTCTTAATTAAATGCTAAGACCAAAAATCCAGCACTTAACTTGAGTACAGGTGACAACCTTAGAACCTTTTCACATTTGTTTGCACATACACTTTAACATTTATAACACTCAAGATCCTTGACCTACAATGGAAACCTGGTACACAAGAACTAATATGAAGTGCAAATACAAAAAAAATTGTGTTGCTTTAACAACTTGAACAAAAGCCTTCAATGAGGCAAAGCTTAAACAGGGAAACAACACTGCATAATGCAACATTAAATGAAGTGTGTAAAATAAAATGTAAACATCTGAAACAACTTTCCAGTTTCAACTAAGTGACAGTGTAGTGAGGAGTAGGATG